CTCTGGGAGCCCAAGTTTCCTTTCAGAGAGTGATCACATTCCAAGTTCTGGAGGTGATTTACTTTGCCTCTCATTATGGAGGAAGAATCAACAAGACTTGATTCTTGATCAGATGTGGTAAAGACTAGTGAAGAGAGACGAGACTGTGAAAAAAGTGAAGGAAAGGCAGTAAATGTAAACCTTTTCTGAAAAGTATGATGAGGAGAGAGAAGGCAACTGAGGTCCAGATGCCAGCCCTCAGTAATTACTGTCCCACTGTTGCCCTCCAAGTCTTCACTTCATCTATTCTGCAATAGGCGGCAGCACATGTAAGGGGCACCTCCTGCAAACATCCATCTCCAGCCCTAACTGGTTTGGCTCAGTGGATAGAGCGTCGGCCTGCGGACTGAAGGGTCCCAGGTTCGATTCCAGTCAAGGGCATGTACCTTGGTTGTGGGCACATCCCCAGTAGGGGGTGTGCAGGAGGCAGCTGATCGATGTTTCTCTCTCATCAATGTTTCTAACTCTCTATCCCTCTCCCTTCCTCTCTGTAAAAAATCAATAAAAATATATTCTTTTAAAAAAACAAAACGTCCATCTCCAGTCAGTGTGAAGAATGAAAAAACTCAGACAAACTGCTGCAGTGCTGCTCCCTTCAGGTGGCACTGCACACACCTGTGTCCCTTCCCCTCACCATGGAACCGTTGTGAAAGTTTTTCTTTTTCTACCAAACCACATTCATAAGCTCATTAATTTAATTCTTTTTTTTCTCATGACATAACTAGAATTAACATACTGATCCTTATTATTTGAAATACCAAAACCTAGTATGGTTCCAGATGAATCCCTAATTAAATGAGGAAATGATGAATGACATAATACATATCAGGAAGAACTATTTTGAGGTTGTTTTGTAGTTGTTGTTTTTAGAGAGAAACATCAACTTGTTGTTTTACTTATTTATGCATTCGTTGGTTGTTTCTTGTATGTGCCCAGCCCAGATATCGAACCCATGACCTTGGTATATTGGGACAACGTTCTAACCAACTGAGCTACCCAGCCAGGACCACATTTTGAGATTTTTGATGTTCATTTTTCAGATGGTACTAACTACAAAGGGAAAATGTATTTTCATATATTAGGGAGATCTGGCAGTTACCACTTTACTGAGCCATCAAACTTAGCATAATTAATAGTGAAACATTTTGACCTGTTGTGGCTCTAGGGTGATGTAATGTGAAGTACATAATGTCATCCATTAAGTATTCTTTGCAAAAAAATGTTTACCCTGAATCTAATACAACCTGTAGATTTATTTCCACTTTGCAGGAAATGTAGGCTTATAGCAATACTGTTTAACAGAACTTTTGGCAGTAATATAAATATTATATATCTGCATTATCTAATACAGTAACCATCAGCCTAGCAAAAGTTTAATTTTATTTCATTTTAATAAACTTCAATTTGAATTTATTTATTTTTTTTTTTTAAAAAATATATTTTATTGAGTTTTTACAGAGAGGAAAGGAGAGAGATAGAGAGTTAGAAACATCGATGAGAGAGAAACATCGACCAGCTGCCTCCTGCACACTCCCCACTGGGGATGTGCCCGCAACCCAGGTACATGCCCTTGACCGGAATCGAACCCGGGACCTTTCAGTCCTCAGGCCGACGCTCTATCCACTGAGCCAAACCGGTCCTGGCTCAATTTGAATTTAAATAGTCACATGTGGCTAGTGGCTACTAAATTGGACAGAAGAGGAACAAGTTAACCACCACAGGAAATAATTACACAATGGGACATTCTACAAGGTAACACACCTTGAGTTTTCAGAAGGTCAATTTTATTATTTTTTTAAGTGGTATATTTACACAATGGAAGGAACCCTTAATTTATGTGACAGCATGGATGGACCTGGAGATTATTATGCTAAGCAAATAAGCCAGACAGAGAAAGACAAATACCATATGATCTCACTTATATGTAGAATCTAATAAACAAAATAAACTGACAAACAAAATAGAACCAGAGGCATGGATATATGGAACAGACTGATCAGAGGTCAGAGGGGAGGGGAGTGGGGGAACCTGGATGAAAGAAGGTGAAAAGATTAGCCAAAGAACATATATGTATAGCCCACGGACACAGCAATAGTGTGGTGAGGGTCAGAGGGAGGGTGGGTGGGAGCTGGGTGGAGGTGGGTAAAGTGGGGAGAAACAGAGGACATCTGTAATAGTATCAACATAAATAAATAGCCCTAGGGCCTAGCTGGTTTGTTCAGCGTTTAGAGAGTCACCTGGTGGACTGAAGGGTCATTGGTTCGATTCCAGTCAACAGCACATAGTATCTCAGCTACAGGCTCAATCTCCAGCCCCAACGGGTTGGGGCACGGGGCGGTAGGTAACCGATCAATGTTTCTTTTTCTCTGTCTCTTCCCTCTCTTCCACTCTCTCTAAAAATCAATCAATGGAAAAAATATCCTTGGATGAGAATTAAAAACAAAATAAAACAAACTTTCCCCTTCTCCTATCCCAGCTTACAATCTAAAGGAGGAGGCAGGACATATACATTAATACACTGTTTATTCAGAGTTGACCATCCAGGAACCTCACCCTTTCATTACACAAATAGAAAATAGTTAAGTAGGATACATAGCAGCCAAGTCAGATGCCACAAAGTTTAC